AAAACTGAGAGAAAAGCAAGATAAGATTGAAGCCCTCGAAAACAGAAGCGCTTCCGAGAAGACCGCCCAAAAGCGAGAAGAGCGCCTGCTCTCGTCAACAATTTACGAGCTTGGTCTTGCTATCATGCAGAATCGCTTGAAGGAGAGGTAAATTGTAGGCTCCGAATTGTAAACAAGAAGAAATAATAGAAAGGATCGTATTATTTTTGGCGTGTTGAGCATGCGTGCCTCTGTCACATAGTTTTTGGCAGTAAGCCCAGCTTAGCCGCAGATATCGCAATGGAAACAGAGTTCCTGAAACTGTGATAGTTTTCCACAATCCTGTTTTGTCCGGTACAATGGCTTCTGACTACCGCACTTCGCCGCTTGCTGCCTCCGTTTGCTACGGTACAGTCGAAGTGATCAGTTGCCGAAACACCTTCGCGCAGCGTGTTGCCACTGGCCAGATGTAGAGATGATGGATTTCATCATGTTTGTTGGGGAGCTTCATTGCAAGGAATGCTGCTACCAGTTGCCACGCACCTAACGCAACGCAGTCAGCTAAAGCAATGCCAGGGTACCGGTAACACACTACGGTAGGAAGGAAATATGACAAAAGCAGCTCTTAAGTCATTAAGAAACTATAAAACTATGTATTTACATGTATCTATCTTTGATAAAGGCAGATTGTCTCACTCCTCGTCGTACATGTATTAATTTTTGCGACATCAGAGGGCAGCTTTTCAGTTTCGTGCAGCGGTACCTGGTACTAGCCCTTGTTGGCTCTCCCTTCGACCGAAATGTTGGCACTCCTTTGGTTTTTGGTCACGGCTCGACCCTTTTCCATCATGCGTTTCTTCAGATTGCCTCTTGCACCAGCGTCCTTGGCTTGTCCTCCCTTTTCAGCGGGACTCTGTGTCGTCTTGGAATTGGGCCGGATCGTGTATTGAAAGCCCTTGGAATACGGCACACGAACCCGATTGAGCCCCGATGCCCCACCTTTCGCTTTTCCAGCTTTGATCATGGAGTCGATATCCTTCCTGCCTCCGCCAGCACTACCAGCCGCTGCCGATTCCATGCGGCGTTGCTCTGCCATTTGCTGTCTTGAAATGCTGGCCAGACCACCTTCTCCTCGTGCATGGTGCACCCGCGCCAAGTCTCTCATGTTTCCTGACTTTTCAAAGATGGGTCGGCTCCATTGTTCGATGAGTGCCTTGTGCTGTCGTTTCATGGCCGGTGTCTCACTCTTGTGCATGTAGAGGCTCATGACGACTTTTCCAAACTCGGATCTCTTGAGGTCACCGGGTGTAATCTCCGCCATGTTGGCAATGGAATCCAAAAGCCTCTGTCGAATCGTGACATTACCGAGGGTTCCATTGGGCAATGGTTGAATCCATCGTCGACATAGGGAAAGGACATCCAAATCGAGGAGTACGCGAATGAGGTCTCGCTTGGTGAGCGTCTCTACGACGTGTCCCAACAAGACGAGTTTCTTGGTTGCTGGACGTCGTTCCTTGATGGCTTGTTCGTCTAGTTCGGCCGCTTGTTCCATTTTTTCCAAGAACGTCTTGGCTTCTTCCTCGAGTTCCGTCAAGGATCGATTTTCCTTCTTCTTTTTCTTCATCTTGTGAACGGCCGCCATGATGGGATTATCGAGATCCTTCTCGGGGTCTAATTTTTCACTACGGCTGCGACTGCCACTGGACCGACTTCCGCCACCGCCACCTTTCTTTTTCCTGCTCATTCCATCGTCCTCCATGGCTTCACCACGGATATCGTCAAAGTGTTGCTCAGCGTAAAGTTCATTGATGGCTTCCGCATCGTCTCCTTCGGTATCGATAAAGTTGCGATCGTCTTCGGTCAATTGGAAATTTGCCGAGTTGTAACTGTCTTCGCCGTCCGATTCTCCTCCGCCGCCTTTTTTGCTCTTTTCGGACGGAACGCCACTCACCATGTCTTCATCTCCGCCCGCGGCAGCACGCTTTCTCTTTTGCAGCGCTTCCATTTTTTCCTTTTTCGACATGGGTTTGGATTTCTTCGCGGCTGGTTTCTTACTACTGCCTTCATCGTCCGAATCAAACAAGTCTTCCTTGTCGCTGTCGCCATCGGCATCGGGGACATTGGCACGTTTGCGTTTCGCGGCGGCTCCCAGTTTCTTCTTGGTTGCCTTTTTGGGCTCTGGCTTGCTGTTGCTGATCAACTCGGCCGTGTCATCGCTGTCAGCGAACAAATCTCCTTCTCCGTCGGACATGGTCAATGATTACTATTGTATCAATACTTGGATGGACTGGGCTTCGTTTTGAGTCAGTTAGTTGTTGGGAAATATTGTGTGCCAAGGAATCTGTCTCCCTCTTCTGTTTCTTCTGGAAAGTTTATGACAAGAGCGTTTGAACTGGTGGTGTTCGTCTTAAGGGCTATGTTGGTTGGAGGACCGTCGCGGTCATCGTCATTGCGCTGTCTTCTCTCTAAAACAATCCGATCCAAACTCGTTTTGAGTCGATCAAGCCAGCGAGATTTGTCAAATGAATGATGAATCGAGTCAACAATCCTGCAAGAAGAAGGGCACTGACTCATTGATTGGAACCATTTCGAATCTTTCCGTCATTTTCCTTGACCGGGCTATATAGCTAGTTGTCAATCATACCGATAGCTGTTGTCATACGAGTGCGATAGCTCTAGAGAACATTATCCACCCTGCACTATCACAATAACACTACCTAGAGCCTCAATCGTCCTTCCACCATGAAGTTCCATTTCAGTCGGTTCATCCTTTCTCTGGCCATTCTGGGCGTCCGAGGAGTGCAAGCAGACGGAGATGACAAGAAGAATGTTTGTTTGGAATCCTTGACCGGAATCACTGGCGGCACTACAACATGCACTCCCCTAGGAGTGGCACCCATGATTGAGGGAGCCTCCTTTTTTCCCGAAGCCATTGTCAAGGATCAAGGAAGTAAGGATATTTTTGGATGTTGCAACAGGAACAGTGACGAAGAAGAGTCGTCCTTGACACCCACACAAATTGGCAAAATGCCACAATTCTCGACCGAAACATCCATGCAAGTCTTGGCGGCGGCCAAAAAGGCGTGGGCCAATGGACGTGGAGTATGGCCACAAATGTCACTGCAGGAACGAATTGAAGCTATTGAAGCATTCTTGACGGCATTGCAGGACCAACGAAGTTCCATTATCAACTTGCTCATGTGGGAAATCGGAAAGAACTATGGAGATGCCGAGGCAGAGTTTGATCGAACTGTTGCCTTTGCCAGAAAGGTAAAATTGCATCCAAATCGTCGCAGATTTGTTGTTTTGTACAGAGACCAATCCACCAATTCACACATTCTTTTGTGGCACTACTACTATTTATAGGTTATCGAAAGCATCCAAACAGACCCAGAATTTGCTGGTGTTTGGCAGACAATCGGGAGCACCAAGGCGCTGGTGAGGCGTACTGCCATTGGAATCATTCTCGCATTGGGACCCTACAACTATCCACTGGTAATTATTGCTCCGTGCTGTTTGTTTGTTTGATTTTTGGACGTACCGGTACATATACATGTATGTCAAGTCACTCACTCACTCGCTATGTCTCCTTCTGCTCTCCCTAACTCCAGAATGAGGTGCGTGCTGCTTGCGATTATGCTTTTGTGCATACATGCTACGTCACTCACTTCGTCTCTACTGCTCTACGCAACTTTCAGACCTACGCCACAATCATCCCAGCATTACTCATGGGGAACATTGTAGTTCTCAAAATTCCAACCGTTGGAGGTCTCGTTCATTTCCTGACTAGTAAGTCCAATCTATTTCGATCCTTTCGATCCTTGTAACGTCGACAACCACTGTGGTGCTCACAGCTACTGTATTGTATGAATGAATTGGTACTATGGCACCGTATAGTGGAAGCATTCAAAGTGCTGCCTGAGGGAACCGTCTCTTTCATTTCGGGAGGAGGACGAGCTACCATGCCACCCATTATGGCAACTGGTGATATTGACGGACTTGCATTCATAGGTGGATCAAATGCTGCTGATGATCTGATCAAGCAACACCCTCATCCCCACAGGTTGAAGGTCTTTCTTCAGCTAGAAGCAAACAACATGGCGGTACGTACTAGTAGAGTACTCAAGCGGATGAAACAAGTGTTTGTCTTCGCCTTTATGTCAATGTGTTCACCTTCTACAACTCACGGGCTTGCACAAACATTACTTCAACCTGAAAAGATCTACCTCCCTGACATCTTTGAACGCAAACACAAAAAGGTCTTGGAGAATGCCCTATCGGAAACCATCACTGGGACCCTCAGCTACAATGGACAGAGATGCACAGCGCTCAAGCTACTCTTTGTACCTAAAGCACATGGCGACTCGTTCACGAAAGCTTTCGTACAAAAGGTGGAAGGTATGTCTCTTGGGACGGTTTTCTGGTGACATCCTGTGTTTGTCGTTGTGAAGCTCACTTTTCCCTTCTCAGCAATGCGGGTTGGGCTTCCTTGGCAACAGTTTGAGGACGAGAAGTTCTCGCAAGTGACACCCTTGCCGAGCGCCAAACGTGTCCAATACATGAAAGAGTTGATTGCTGACGCTCTTGAGAAGGGTGCTTCGATAATGAACAAGGATGGTGGCACTCTTGTGGGAGGCGACGATTCCACGCTGATGGTGCCCGCTGTCCTCTACCCGGTGGATTCCAGCATGAAGGTGTACCATGAGGAACAGTTTGGACCTGTCATCCCTATCGCCCCCTATGAGGAATTTGAAACGGTACTCGCTTTTGGTCAAGATGGCCCTTACGCGCAGCAGGTCTCGCTATTTACCGCCAAGGATGCAGAAACAGCTTCGACCGTCATTGATCGCTTCTCCGCTGTCTTTGGCAAAATCAATCTGGGCTCACAATGCGGTCGCAGCCCCGACACGTTGCCTTTCAGTGGAAGGAGGAGCTCAGCAATGGGTGTCATGTCTGTGTCCCATGCTTTGAGAGAGGTATGTTATCAATCTGCTATCATTTTGAGTCAGTCCGTGCCACCCTGTAGTCCTCAACGAACCATGCTTTCGATGTCGTGTGTTTTCATATGTAGTTCTCCGTGCCAACAGTCGTAGCTTACAAGGAAAAGAAGGACGTCCCAACTGAGGAACTCGTGAAGAAAGTAAGCAAGACGTCGAAGTTTCTGCAATCTGTTACTGCAAAGTCATGAACGAGTCGAGTCGGCATGTACAATCGCGACGAGAACGTCAGGGACATCAAAAAGACTGGTAGAATAGAATAGATGACTACTAGAGATATTCTAGCAGTTCCTTCACAGGAAAGCAGCTAGCTAGATGAACTAGCAATTAACTTCCAGACGGCGTTCTGATGACAGTCGAGCCTCCTTCCTTGGCAATAGCATGGCTCTATACTTTTTCTTGCAACGTTTCACGTATTACCAACCAGCCTCTTGATTGGCCTGCTGCCACGCATTGGGGCGCCTCGTCGATCGTGTAATTGGCTGGTGCACTGGTTCTACCTTCACGTTCAGCAACTTGTGAGCGGCCAAATAGGCCGTTGTGTTCCTGCAGAGCAGATCGAAGGCCAAAGCGAGAAATCCTGTCGTCTTGCAATCTGGGAACAAACCTGTCAGCAATGGGGAAAGAAAAATGGCGGCAACCGAATGAAGAACCCACCAGGGAGGCCTAACTTACTGTTGACAATTTCATAGAACACCGCACGGCTCGCCAAAGAGTTCCACAAGCCATGGATACTCTTGCTGTCAAGTGACTCAAGCTCGATGTCGTCTCGTGTCGCCGGGTTCTCTAGTAACTCCTTGCCACTTGGGCCGTCATCAGATGGAATTCCGTCCATCAGCTCGAAGAAGGCATTTTCCAGCGTCAAGAGACCGTCTTTTGCAGATCGAAAATCGAAGGTGTAATCCTTCATAGAGTTGGTCCAGACAGCCCTCGCCCCACTTTTTCCGCCCCAGTTATTGTCGTAGTTCTTATTTTTGAGTTTCGTATAAAGTTCTTGCTCTCTCTTGACCATGTAGCGAGCGAAGACCATTGGCGACGACGAATAAGGAGCATCCGCAGCACGGCCGCAATGGCGCCCCAAGGGGTTCCTGTAGGTATGAAACGCAGCATCAAACTCGAAGTATCCCTTTTCCTTGTTGCTCCACTTCACAAAACGGCAGATGCTCTCCAACAACTCGGGGCCAGGGAGCCAGTAAGTATGTCCTCTGTCAGTTGTCGCTTGCCAATCGTGTGTCTCACGAGTGGTGGGAGCTGGTTTCTCCTTCTCTTCATCCTCCTCTTCGGATTCGTCTCCCCCCTCTGGTTCAACGATCTCTTCCCGCTTCCTGAAAGCAGTGATCTTACCATTCTCATAGCGCGAGATGGCAGGTTCCTTCGAGCCATCCACAATAACGCGCACTCGCACTTCTGCCCCAATCCCAGATTGCAAGCCTTCCAAAGTTTCAATCGAAATGGAGGAGTTTGAAGCAATGTCTTCCGTTTCCATCAGTCCTTTGAATGCATCTTCGTCCCCGCTGGTCAACGTGACGGCGGTGTCATCGGCAGAACCCTCTGCGCCTAGTTCCTTTGAGCCTTCTGGCTTCTCACCAACATTTTCTTCCAACGTCTCCTTGAGCTTGCTTTTCAACTCGTTCTCTCGGACCCCTCTGCTGTCCAAGTCCTTTATGAGTGTCCTGATCGATTTTTCAGTTGCGTGACATCCCCAATTCTTCTTTGCCAGACAAGCATCCAGCCCAGACGAGTGGTATTCCTGCCTGGAGAATTTGAGGAAAGCACCTTTCTCGTTGTTTCCAATCATATCCTCTTCCTCGTCATTAGTGCCCAGGAAAACGTGTTCCTTCACTCGCTCGAGATCAAGGAACCCAGCAGACTTCGTTTGAGGTTCTTTTGATGAATCCTCAATGATGACATAATCAGTCTCGGTCCAGAAGTGACTATGCTCGTCTCTATCAAAGTGCCAGAAACGATTTCTGAAACGATCTTGTCCAATGGGGACGTTCCTGATGAAGCACCTGTTGCGTTTTGCCACAAGATCCTTTTGGGCGTCTGCCACCTTCTTGTGATTTTTGGCGTTTTCTAGCTCCAACACAGCGTCGCGCATCAAACCCAGCGCCCAGACGCCTCCAGTAGTCTCGTCTTCGCCAGTTAACTTGGCAAGTTTGGCTTCACGAATCGCACTCTTTAAAACCTTGATAGTGCCATCAGCAATTGCATCGCGGAGGACAAGTATGGCAGATTGTCTATTTTCTGGCAGTGTTTCAGTTGCTTCCTTGGCTTTTTCCACGTTTCGTTTCAGCCTGTCAATTGCCCTCGATGTGTCTCGGTCCATGGCGTCGGTGTCCGGGTTCTCAGCTACAAGATTCGCAAGCTGTTCTTCCATTGCCTTCAACTGCTCCTTCTCTTGCTCGAGCAGCTCCTCCATGGTCAGTACTCTGACGGAATGGGTTTCGAACGCAGCCTCTTGCTGCATCCGGGCCACCATCTTGTTGACCTCGATCTTGCTAAAGCTTTCGGGGCCTGGAAGAGCGGTATAGTCAGCCTTGATCTCCTCATCCTCGAGAATGTCGTCGTCAGCCAAAGACTCCATAAACTCTTCTGTGAACTCATTTGATCCTTCGTTCACTTTTCGGATTTCTGCTCGCTTTTCCTCCAAAAACTTATTTTGGACTTCAGCCGTCAGCTGTTCTCGGGCTGCCTTTTCTGCAGCGGTGGCCTTCTTCTTGGCGTCACTCTTGGCCTTTCGTTCCTCGGCTTCCAAGGCCTTCAGGGCATTGATGCGCTGCTTAAAGTTCCCGTCCACTACTTGCTGCACTCGAACTGTGTCATACGCAGCTTCAATCATGATTCTCAAAATGCAAAGGCGTTGAATGGGGGCTAGGTCCAAATAATCGTCTCCCGAGCACAAGTGTTTCACTGCGGTTTCGCCCGGACTCTCGCCGTCAATCACTGCGCAGCACTCAGTAAATATCCGAGAAGCCGAAACAGCCTCTCGCTCCCTGCGCTGAGCAACTGTAAGTTGTGGCAAATCGTGGCTGGCACGCAAAGCATCGTCCACTTCATTTCGCAGTCGTTTCATTCGATGGAGAATCCTGCACGCCGCACCACCAGCTAATTGCGACCATGTGAACGGATTCAAGAACTCCGAGTTTTGGTTTGGTTTGAATGGCGGGAGCAGTAGATCCACCAACGTAGGGGATGGTCGTGGTGGGATGTACGATGACGGCATTTCGGAATCGTCCTTGGCATCTGCATCGCCCGCTTTTTTGCTGCCTTGTTTTTCTGCGTCCCCCATTTCCTCGTCGTCCGAGTCATCACTCTCTTCATCGGACTCTTCAACATCGGACACCAGATCTTCTTCTTTGACGATCGGAGCCGATGCTTCCAGTTTGTCCATTTGCTGCTTGGCATCTTCAACGACCTTTGCCCTGATTTCCATCATTCGGCTTTCTCTGACACTCCTACTGGACAAATCCGGTCGAGCTTCCTTGACCTTTTCCACAAGCCACACAATGGCCCGTTTGGTGTCTTTCAGATCGTTTTGTTTCAACATTTTCAATGCCTTTCGCAAGTAGGCACCCACCCATTTATTCGCCACGACGTGCAACGCCGTCTTGATGGCATTCGTTAGGGCATCCGCCTGTGTACTATTCATTTTGCCGACATCCTCCAACGATGCCAGCCAACTGTTAGTGATGAGTGGATCTTCATCGTCGGCCAACAACGCCTCCATGTCGACTTTGATGGCTGCCGCCTTGCCATCTTCTTCCTTTTCTTCTGCAGCCAAAATCTTGGCCTCTGGATTTTCCGTCTCTTGCGTTTCGAGTATGGACCACCACCATTCGTCGCTCTGTCGATCGCTGACCAACAATTTCAAGAGGCCCAAATGTGCCTCGGCGAGATACACGGGTGGAGCTTGAATGTCATCCCCATTAACATCTTCGGGGGGTTTGTAGGTGAGTGCCGATGCAAAGTCATCCAAGGATATGGGTTCCAAATTGAGTGTTTTGTGAAAGGTACAGAGGAAATCCCACGTCATGAGTAAATCGGGGATGCAATGTTGTGGAATGTCTGGGAATCCCTTGATATCGGGTATCCTCGCCGCGGTACATGTGGATTGTGTGATGGGTTTCTTTCCGTGCTGTGCTTCATCTTCTTCCATTAATATGAGATCCTCCATGGGGTATCGTGATTCCTTTTGATCATTGATAAAATCGTCCAATGATTTGATAGCACGTTGATGTGCTTTGCGCAGTCGTTCCAATTCCCGTCTGAGTTTTTTCTTCTCGTTTTCCTTTTCTCTGGAAGTTTTTGGTTTCTTCTTGTTGAAAGTGGCTTTTCGTTTGGGTCTACTATCTGCCTTGATGATATTGAGGAACCTGCCCACTTCCACCATGGATCGGAATCGCCTTCCTGACGAATTGTAGAAATTGATATCGTATCGTCGATCGGATGGTTTTCGTGTAACTCTGGAGCGGAATCCAGCGACTTGTTCCTTGGATCCTCCATTTTCTTCGATAAATGCTTCCAGCGATTCCAATGCTCGTACTTCTCGATCTTTGAGTGTCAATTCACCCTCCTGATCCCCGCCACCGGCTGGTTGTGCGGTGGAGGGTCTCTTGCGAGTGATACGATTGTTTTCGAGGTCTTCCGAAGCTTTGCGTTTTTTCAAACTACTGGATACGGGAGCCTCGGAGGGTGTGAATCCTTTGGCTAAATCTGCCAGGGATTTGTCTCTGTGGCCCAACAAGTCCTTGACGGTCTGAATATGGATGGCTGCTTGCTTGGCGTGTTTGGTTTTGCTATAATTACGTATCCAAAGAAGAAACAAAAAATAGAAAGAAGTGAAGGGATAAGACGAAGGATTGCTTTTGCTGTTTGATCTATTGGATGCCATGTTCTGACTGTACGTACCGAGCAATGTGTCGATTGTAAACTCCACCCAGATCCCTGGCGAAATCCTCCCAGCCGTGCTTGCCGAGTCGATACTTTTGGGCGTCAATCTTTTGTCCAATAGTGGTCAAGTCCAGTGCGTGTCCTTCCTTGCTGGCGGCGTGTCGTTCTTCTTGAAAGGCCTCCGATCCCTTCAATGCCCACACTTTGGATAGCACTTTGCCCATCCGGTTCGCCTGCTTGCGCCGACGCTTCTCCTTCTCGTCCACGGCATGAGCCACACCGCCTTCGTCGGCCATGGTATGTTGGCCTAGCTAGTAACTAATAATACCTGATCTTGCACCCAAGGGATCGATGTTCCGACTCTCTGTACGACTGTACCCTTTCAGGTCTGGGTATATTTATTTTTTGATCAACACCAAGTCGATCGAGTGTCGTCGTGGGTTGCGTGCCCGAAGTCGGTGTCTGATGAACATGAATCTTTGGCTGATTTGACCTCTTTGCGGCGTCTTTGGTCAAATTACATAAATTATCAAACGTTTTGTGGTTTTTTAATACATACTTGTATTGTTAATTTTAGTGAAAATGCAGATAAATGTAGCAAATAACTTCTACTTTGTGTGCAATTTTTCAAACCTTTACAAGCTAGCCAGAGAAGCTGTAAAAACAATCTTTGGAACTGCATTTGTGGAGTCTCTTGCCTCCACTACCGTACGTATGGTAGCCCCGTCCAAGCAAACAACCATTGAGAAAGCATCTGGATCCTGCTGGATTCGGCAGCAAGGCGTTCAACATTCAACAAAAGCGAAGCAGTCGCCATCCTTTCGGCATTTGGATCGGTTGGCAAAAGCCAAAGGTCGGATACTGTCGAAACCTTTCATGGGACGAGCGTTATATAAAGCACAGCCTCACTTTTCTTTGGTAGCAGCCGCTTCCCTACCGGTAGCTATATAGCCAGCCAGGAGGATTCTTATCTGTTTGCGCTGTTATTAGCATGGGATTCGATCCTCTTACTGGCACCATAACGATGGATCATATCGAGATGCCGATGAATCCTTGCAGTCTCGAGACCATCTCGGAGCCTGTGGAGCTGCCCTCAGGTCGTCGAGTATGGCCTTTGGTGGTAGCATGCTACGAACTGCAGAGCGATGGATCTCGTCAAGGCCGCTTGGATCTCTTCCCCGTCAAGGTTCCTGACTTTCAACACAGTAGCAACTTGTCCTTTCCTCTGCGATTTGGGAGCTCCATTCCTACCACCAATCTGTCGGGAATTCTAGATGGAAAATGGATTCATCTGCCGTCACACTCAAGCAAAAGTTTTGGTGAATCTGGCTATTACTTTGCAGCGGCTCATTCCAGTGGAGATATTTCCATTCATTCCCTGTTGCTTTCTCAAGAAGAAGAACAACAACAAGAAGAAAGTCAACCATTAAAATTGAAAATGGTGTCCAATACGAATCTTGACAGAGATCCCTCGGATCCATCTTCATTATGTTTGGCGCTGAGTTGGGACAAGACCAGTACTGCCACAGATGATGTATCTTCGTCGAGACAGATTTTGTCTTCCTATTCCAACGGCATTGTCAAACTCCACAATTGTTGCTTTCAACCAAATAATCACAATCCACAACTTTTTGAAGAATCCTCCTGGCTGGCACACACATTATTCAACACTCCGTCGGAAGTATGGGCAGCTTCCTTTGTGGGCAATCATCATGCCATCATGACAGGAGGAGATGATGCCAAATTAAAACTGTGGGACACACGAGCTACCACGCGGCCCATGCAGGTACTTGGAAATCACTTTGAGGCTGGTGTGACGGTCATTTCACCACATCCCACAAACGACAATCTGGTGGCCTGTGGAAGCTACGACGAAACCATTGGCATTTACGATGTCCGGGCTCTGTCTTCCAAAAACAAGCCCATGGGGAAAAGTGCTCCCTTGGGAGGTGGCATTTGGAGAATCAAATGGCATCCCTTGGAGGATGACAGGTTGCTGGTGGCTGCCATGCATGGAGGCTGTCGCATTGTCAAAATGGATCAACTCAATGATACTGACCACAATCCACGCTTCGTTTTGACAGCCACCAAACAGTTTACAGAACACAAGAGCATGGCATATGGAGCTGACTGGCTCGTCTGTAACCATCCCACACGAGAGGGATATTTTGAGGCTGCAGCCAGCTGCTCCTTTTATGACAAGGCTGCTTTCTTGTGGGACACGGTGGCTGCTTGAAGGAATGAGGGGAAGGCAACGAAGGTTATCATAATGTTGCTACAAGTAGCGTACAGCAATTCTGGCAGGCTCAACCTTGCTCTCCCCACTCGACTGCCTCTAGAGCCGAGGTAAAACGCAAGCTCATCGTTACCTACCAAAACTAGTCGAACGATCTTTGGATCCATGAATACGAGACGAAGTTGACGAGAGAACAGGTACAGCATGGGATGGGCGGGGACGCACTCGGCTGCCTACCGGTAAAAGAAGGGCCTACCGCTTACCGCCGTCAACGAAGGATAATTGGGGTCCACGAAAAGCAGGCTAATCGGGAGGCCGCCTTCATCACAGACGACCTGAGTCTTCCTGGCTATAAGGTCTTTTAAGAATTGCGCTTTGCTTTCCTTTGTAGTTGCCACTGGTACCTGGTACCACCGAGTTAGTTACACTTGTCAAGGTTTTGCGTGCAACCGAATGGCAAGGACTGTGGTTGCGGGCTATGCTACCGTGGGTGGTACTGAAGCGGTATAGCAAGCAAAGTTTGGTGGAGCTCCAAATGGAGTTACAGGCGAGAAGCTCTAAACTACTGTAGCTACCGTAGTTTGGGGATGAGCAAACTTGGCCATGGCTCTGTGTTGAATTTGTTAGAGCGTTTTTGTAAAAATTGTGTGCCCAAAGCCAATCTTTTACTTTGGCTGTTTTTCTCTATTGGATTTGATTGGATTGCATTGGATTAAATTGGATTGCATTGAATTACAGTTTACTATATACATAACAGTACTAATTGGAATCCAATTCAATCCAATTCAATCCAATTCAATGCAATGCAATCCAATCTAATCCAAATAAATTTATCTTCTGGCAAAATACGAATTTCGTCTTTTTAACTGATTTTAGCGAGTCACATCCATTACAATACAAGGCTATTGCAAGATTTGCCCATCCCCTTTAGCAAAAATAGTTAAAATGTATAATATTATTGTGATTTGAGGTGCTTTCAAAAATAGACGCTGCCGGTGCAATTCTCACATTCTCTCACGCACACATCAACAGCATCCATCATCTTTCTCCGTAACAAAGAAGTCAAGTCACCTGCAAGTTGCCAATAGGAAAGAGTCATGTCATTCATAGCCAAGTTCATGAGTGGTGGCGGTGCTACAGCAGCCGCTACAGCAACAACGCGGTCAGTCGCGAAGGACAGATTAAGCGTGATTCTGGCATCTCAAAGAGGATCCGAGTTGCTGGAAAAAGTCAACATGGAGGACTTGCAAAGGGATGTTTTGAAGGTGGTCGAGGTGAGTTCATTGGGTAGTAATTGATTTGGGTTCTTTAGTTGAGTGAAAAAAATCGGATGCAACTATGGGGCGAGTCGAGTGGCTACCAGGTATCGGTATAACCAAATTCACTGACCACACAATTTTCATGTATTTTCTCTCTGTTGTCTGTTGCAGCGCCATATCCAGATTGCCAAGAACCGACCAGTGCAATTCTCGGTTAATGCTGAAGGTGAAAATCAAGTATTTGAGATGAGCGTAGAGCTAGCAGTAGCGCGGAGGTCGACCGCGCCAAGACAAGCTGCATAACCAGTACAGAGTACCAGGTACCAGTTACCAGGAGATGGCTCACAACATTCTATTTCATCGTCACTTCCTCCAGCGTTGGTCCATTCAAGCCATCCACGCACATACAACAATACACCTGAACCGTCTGGCTAGTACATGGGATAAGGGATATCCGATTATTAGTGAAAGCACTGTGAAGTGGTAGACAACTAGCTGGCCTTCCATTTATATATTATTGCAGTAGTCTATCATTGGCGTTGCTTCTATTCCATATCCCAGTAGCACGCCAAACATTATAGCAGTAGTAATTCCCAAACATAGATATCTTGCAGTGGTCAACAACAATGGAGGAGCAGTGTCGACAACAATTGATGGGGGGCGTCAGAGTCAGTCGTGGTCAGTGCCGCTTTTTTTGGCAAGAGCCCACTCGGAAGCAACTGGCTAGGAGGAGTGAGGTCTCTTGAACTCGGAACTATCTGGCGACTCATGCTGTGACTTGCGCTTGCGACTCTCCATTGGTGTCACAGCAGATGAGGGACTCCCGGCTCCTGATCCATAAGAGCGAGGATTGCTCATGGATCTGCGCATTTCTTCATTAATGCCGCCAGAGGATCCGCTGTCCGAGAAAGCAAATGCAGCTTGAGAACCAATCGGCACAGAGTCAGCGCCAGCCCGGATACCATCCCGAGTGTCCTTCAAACCGAGAGCTTTGGCGGCAAGAACGTAATACTTGCGAAGAACAGAGCTGAGCGAAGTCGACCCTTTCAAGTCACCAAGCTTTGCTTTCAAGTCCTCAGGCAGGTTCTCGCAAGAGTCCAAGTGCAACCGTTGGAACTCTCGCACCGATTCGTAAATGCCGCTTACCGAGAAGGGGTAAGCAACACCCGAGCCACGAGCCCCGACACCCTGCTTTGCAAGCGCACAGTGGATGCACCGGATCCCGACCTGCCCCTCGTGCACTGGAAACTTGCGGTCGTTGCGAGCTACATCAACGTCTTCTCGGGTGGCACAGAATACCTCGATCTGCCGCCGTGTAAAGCAGTCCGTGTCGGATAGCCACTCCTTGTCCTCGGGAATGGCCAACAGCACCCGAGATGTTGGCGACGGCGGGAAGTTCATAGACAGTGAATCAGCCAGCGCCTTGGCAGCCTCTTTTGTGGAACGTTGCATTAATAGAATGCTCTCTTCGCTTCCACTGGTAGCACTTGGGGAGGTATCAGACGTTTTTGTTGCTACGGCCGGAAACTTTGTGTCAATGTCACCGCCAATAGCGGGCGCTGCAGCTTGCTGTCGAGGCGTTGATTGACCGGGACTGGCGGCCTGAGGATCCTCGTCATGCAAACGTCGCCACATGCGCCGGAAGAAAACCTTTTGAGACCCTCGTGGCAGGCGAGCCATTTGCTCTGGATGCAGTTGCTTCAACTGGTACAAAGCATCCTTTGTTTGCTGAGGACAGTGTCGACACTTCAGAATGTGGCCCGGAATCTCTGCAAAGCTGTTGGCTAATCGATCCACATTGCTCCAGAAGAACTTTCGTGAATTGTTTGCCTCGGAACAATGGATGCACTGAAGCCCTCCAAAGCCAATCACAATCTTCTCCCGTTTGCCCCCACGTGTCTTTCGATCGGATTCTGAAAAGCGACACAGCCGAAGCTGCTTCATAAGATAGAAAAAGTAGTCTGTGAGGAGCAGCTTGTCTTCCTCTAGTACAAGCTGGTCTGTCTCGTCGCCAGGTGCAACGCCTGCAGCGAAAGCAGCCTCTCTATCGGTTGTTGCCAAGTAGTCGATGGCACGTTGAACCGCAGAACTGGCATCAGGCCGAAGAGACGCTGCACTAGAGGCAATGGGAGCTCGTGGCTGCGACATGACCAAGCGACTGGGCGCATCGCCATAGTCAGGCCCCGGACCTCCCCCACTCACAGGCATCTGATGAGGCGTGGAAGGGTAGGATCGTTGCGTGCTGGTCTCTGGGTTGGCATGCTGTGAATAAGCAAACGACATTGGCTGAGCTTGGTTGCTTGGCCCTTGCCCCTCCCAGCCTTGACTCCCGCCGCCGCCGCCACCACCGAAGGCACCTTGAAACTGCTGTGGCGTTCCAAAGGCGAACTGAGGAGCTCCACCCTGAAAAATAGGTTGATTTTGCAGTGAATGGTGATAGCCTCTGCACACGTTCAGATGCTGGTCTACGTATTGAGGTGGGGGCGGCATGTGATTGGGTGCAGACCAATTCCATTGTGGTTCTCTGTAAGGTGGCGGTATATGGTTACAGTATTTGCAGGACCAGCTTCCCACAGCATCTTGAAAGAATGGAAAGCCTCCCGTCATGTCAAAAGGAGACATTGCTTGCTGTTGTTGGAATCCCCTATGAGGGGATTGGGCCGTCATTGGTCCTTCCTGTGTCATGTAGTATCCCTCACCTCCTGCAGCAACAAAGGGGTCATACCCCGGGCGGTACTCGCCACTATCGTGAGTCCGTCGGCGGGCCATGGGTGTTGGCACTATTGGATCAGCACCCATCATGGGCCTTCGGCCCTGCATGATATCTCCCTGATTTTGAATGAAAACAAGCCCTCTTCCGTGCGGTCCCTTGTCTACAATCCCCAGACGTTGACAGAACCGAAAGCACCAGTTTCTCAGTGCCGAGCGACTTCGTTCGTCGTCCTGTTGCCAGGAAGAACCCCGTTCCTGGTTGTTGGACCGTCGTTTTTCAGTGGCTTGCTGATTGATATCTTTTACGGAAGCAGGCGCCATGTCGCACTTTCTCAAATGTCTTTCTGATAGCAATCTGACTCCATCTGCCATTGATTCAATCCCAGCAGCACTGCCAGGGAAATATGTGGCTTCACTGAGTGATTGAGGGCTGTTGGAGCAGTGAATGCAGCGTAGGCCTAGCTGCCCCATTGCCAGACCCGCAAACTGCGACCGTAGTTCTTCATCCGAAATTTCTCTTTGGCTGGCTTCAAAAACTTCCAGACTCTGGCAAGCCACGGTATCATCAGCATTCATATGACTTTGTTCATTGAGCCCCATTAGAGGGAATGTTTTCCGACGGGCAGGCTGTGGTTCATAGCTGCTACCCCCACCTTCCTGTTTGATGGCAGTGGCAGCCGCAGAATTGGGAACTGGAGCCATGGCTGGAGGATAAAATCCGGGAAAATGCGCAGGTGGAACTCGTTGAGGGTGGTAAAAAGCTGGCTGGAATTGCTGCTGCTGTATTTGTTGATGCTGTGGCAATTGGGCCCGTTGCTGCTGCTGGAGTTCTTGTTCTCCTTCTGATTTGTGTTCTTGCTCTTGCGGCCGTTGTTGTTGCGGCTTATTTGGGTTCTGTTGGCACTCCTGGTCTTCGTGTTGTTTGGCTTCTTCCACAGAGTCACAAGGCAGTTTACAATGATCGCAACACCAAAAACCCCTGGACTGATGAGGCATTTCTTGTTCTCTCGCACAGGTCAGTCAGTGGCTGTCCAGCAGCAACACAACAGCCCACCACGACAGAAAAGCAACGCGCAACAAGCCTAATTCGCTTCGCCTCGCCTTAAGTCAGATCTCTTGGACCAATCATGCAGTACCAGATAAGTCCAGCCTGCTCACTCAGTTTCTCACTACACACAGGACTGCTCTCGCCGCTGCATCCATTAGGCGATCGTTGTACGGTAGTAGCTGATGGCTAGACGAGAAAGTAGCAATCGAATGAATCTTTCTGGCTTGTTGACAATGCTTGCAGATACACACTCAAAGCAGCTTATTTGATATGAATGTAACACACACAGTGCAATGGAGCGCTATAGCAACCAAAGGTCTTGTGAATTATGATGGCGAAGATCGTGGAGTGGGATGTGAACAGCAATGATCCACTGGGACGGGTTCAGACAGCACAAGTTCATTCGCTTCAATGAGCGTGTTGTTGCGTGGTTCCGAGCAAATGAAACACGAGCAATTTGCGCGCAGGTGCGGAGTTTTCTCTTTCACACCAGAACCTGCTCTGGCTCCCAGGTGTTATGGAGATTTAGAGAGATGCACATACGTAGGACTGTTATTCAGTCGTACCGGGCCAGCCCTCACAAAATGGCGAACAAAACTACACTGCTTTGACCTGGCCGTTTATTTCTCAAGAAAACCTGGAATATTCTGCTCTCTCAAACAACATCAGAACAAGCAAAGAGAGGCTTGGAGAGCGGGAGAAACTTGTCTTTTGCTTTGATTCAAACTTTCTGCAGAGAGCTGACCTGAAAAGGGTGGGGTATCAACCACCAATAATTATTGAATCTACACCTTAATTAATTTATACGATTGAAAAGGCGTCCAGATTGCTAACTAAAGGCGGTATAAAGCTGTATCAGCCTTGCCGGAACTACAGTAAGAGACTGATTGCTGGGCCAATCTCACGAAACTAGTCCAGGTTATCGTACGGTATACGGTACGGTGCTACCGTATCACCACAATCAATCCTACCAGGTACTAAAGGCTAGCTAGTTATCTTCTACTCTAAAGGTCAAGCAACCGAGGACAACAACACGCCCTTTGCCAAAACAATTGCTCCCCTAACTTGCCGTTGTAGGTAACGGGTGAAGAACGTAACGGTACAAAAAAGTGCCGATCCCACCCTGCTTGTTCATCTCCGCTGACGAAGCCCCGGAAGATGCTAGACATCAATCGTGTATCCTGCTTTCCTCTTTGTTGCTCTCTGGGTGGATGGTTGGGCCTCAAGCCACCGGTACCAGTATGAAAGAGTGGTCAAGCTCTTACGGCGACCGAATGGCATCGTCTTGGCATCCTTCTATATAGTTTTCCTTGTTTGCTATTGTTATTAGCCAAATTTGTGCAGGCAGTGTACAGAGCGGGATAAATACTGTAGATCGTGCATCCCAGGTCAGGCTCGACGGTTCTTCTGTTTAGCTTGCAGAGCATGCATCCGTCCGTGCCTGCCAGGTCAAGCCCAAGTCGCATTCATTCCGGTAGAACCTCTGTGTGACTAGACCGATAGATAAGGAGTCGTCCCAGGTCAGGAGGCCGATTTCCTTTGACTCAATCAGTTGGGCGTACCAGCATGAGTGAGTAAGGGTGGGTCGTATGATCCAAGCACAGGCAGCCATAGCTACCTACGGTACTACTTGCTCGAAAGAGCTTAGATTGACCGGGTTGGATCCGTACTACGACCGAACCGACGAGCTCAGGAAAGATCACTCAAAAGAATTGGAAAAGCTGTTGGAAACTAGCTAACTAGTATCTCGCGTACTTCTAGCCTGTGCGAAGCGGACCCGGATCATCTCTGACTAACTAATACATAGCCAAAGGTTATCGCCTGCAGTTGAGGGAATCTAGAAAGCATCTCATTTCCAGGATCTGGGCGTCTTTGTGCTAAGATTTATGCTTCTTGATCTCTATTTCTAACACATACAATCTAGTTCGGTACGATCACCGCGTGTTCTGGATTTCATAGCTTCGATGTAATACTATTAGCAGTTCGGCATTAGCTTCTTTAACTCCCGCGCCATAAAGGTATTCTGCTCGGAACTTTGTCTTGACTTACAAGAGTCGCACCCCGGACGCTGCATCGAAGACTGCTGGCTTTCGTCGGATCGACTCAGGGTGCACGTGAGCTCTGCTCTGCAAGTAGAGTGAGCCTTCATGCGATGCATTGCGCTTATTACTCTTCCTTTGTGCACTTGGCTATCACTAGCTCTGCTGTTTTCGTCTGAGGGTTGGTTGCGAAGATGCCGCGAGAACAAAAGGGGCGGGCATTGAATTGGGCTCGTTTCTCATTCTAGATTTCACAGTCGCTCTTCCTTTTCCTTGTTCTTTGTAAGTCTAGAATATTCGAAATCCTGACTCCATATCATTCCATCCCTTGGATTCGAGGAACTCATCAACCGGACGATCATTTTCACCTTCCACCTGGATGTCCATCTTGCCACCACCCCACAAACGAAAACCAGAGTCCACCTTGTTCCAACCTTTTCGTTTCAATAGCGTATCTTCCGATTTGATTTCACGTAGCAGGATGTCATCGTCTTCGTCGTTCCAAACGCTCAACAGCCTAGACCTGCTGGAAAGAACCGCTTTGATGGCCCTTCGGCGCCGTTCTAGCTGGCCTGGTCTCCACTCCAATTCCTTCGCGTCACGTACAATGCTTGCAACAAGGGGTACGTCTTTCTTCTGAAGCTTGCCGGTACGGATAACGGTCTTCAAAACCCTGGAGATGTAGGGCAAGAAAAAAGGTGTCAGACACTAATTGAAACAAGTGCAACTTTCCGCTGGCAGTAGCCGAGTACTCGCCGAGTACTCACAAGTCAACCATTGCTTGATCCGGAAATAATTTCTGGGCATCTTTCATCTCAATGTAGAGAATCTGAGCATCCTCAGACGCAGGGACGGTATCCTTCTTCAATAGGGCACGGATGAGAATTGAGAAAGAAATGACACTTGGCTGCAGGATGGCTGAACTGCCGCCGTCACCCGGTCCAAAGAAGTGTCTAAAGGTTTTCATCGCGACGTCCTCATACCCGCAACGACAACATGCGTCAAGAAATGCATTCACGGCGACCAAGTCGGGCCTCTTTAACATTCGAAACCAATCAAGAGCGCCGTTGATGTCGCCCGAAAGCCCACATGACTGGACAAGGGCGGTCACAACTTTGTGGTTGTTTTTGTATGAGACAATTCCGTTCTTTTCCAGCTTTCCCACCAACTCTTTCGCTTCTTCGATCCGCGGTGCTGGTCGGCATCGCCCCAATGCGATAATCAATGTCGCAAGAGTTACATCATTTGGCCGGATTCCCGACCTCATCATGTCGTAGAAGATGCCAATGGCTTCATCTACTTGGTCGTCCGTAGGCGCGGGCAAGACGGCCCTGCTGCACTGATCATCATCCCGCTCATCTTGCTGTCCTTCTGGAAGCGACAAGAGCGCTGATATGAACGCGTTGTAGGTTACGGCCGTAGGTTTTAGTCCGCCTGTTGTTGTCATGTATCGAATCGTCTTCTTAGCTTTGTCTACTTGGCCGTGACGAGCAAATGCTGCGATTAGACAAGTGTAAGTGAATTCGTTTGGCTCTACACCACGATCCTTCATTGTTTGCATGACTTGCAACGCATTGTTCAGTTGAGAGGCTTTGGAGTAGCCATCAAGTAGTTCCGTGTAAGCTTCAACATTGGGATGCTCGTTCCTCCGACGCCCCCGGTTTGCCCTTGCATTTGCCGATGAAGTGTGCCGATCCAGGACAGCTTCTGCAAGGTCAAAATTGCCGTTGAGGACAGCTGCATGGACGAGTGTGTTGGTTGTAACATCGTCCCACAATCGTTTCATCTCCATTTTTTGAGACATGGACAAGACCTCCTTCAGTGAACCCGATTTAGCCAAACCTTTGAGAATGGTATTGTAGGTCCGCTGATTTGGTCTTGGCACTTCACCAGAATCGGGGTTCCTGACCCATTTCAGAGTGCCACGGTGACTGGACGACCCGCCCTTGGCCATGCAATCAAACAGCGTCTTGGCCTTGTCCATGGCATTGCAATTCACATAAGCATCAATCAAACTGTTCAGCATGATTCTATCAGGAACAATGCCATTTGCTTTGGCGTGCGCGACAATCATATCCACATTGCGAAGATCTCCGCGTCGTCCATATCCCTTGACGAGGATCGAATAGCCTACCGGTGATAACGGAGGGGCATTTTCGGTTCGTTCTTGCAAGGCTACAATTTTGTGTGCCATATCCATTCTTCCCATGTTGGAGAAGGAGTTTAGGACCATATTGAAGTCTTTTTCTTGAATGCTTTCATTGGAGTAGGCTGTACAAGATCCTGCTTCCTTCCTTCGGATCCCTACACCCGTGACAAGCCTTTGCAAAATCCGAAACGGCGAGTAGGTTGAATCGGCGCCCAAGGAAGTTGTCGCATTTCCACCATAACCAGCAGATTGTTGCATTTCGTTCATGACAGTCAGAGCCCGCAAGGCATTCAGATACACTCGCTTGGGAACAGTATCGTAAGGAGGTGCCAGGTTGGATGATAGTTGCAATGCTACGGCGTCCATGCCCAGCATAATTCTCCTCCTAGCGGCAGCTCCCTCGTAAGGAGCAACAAAGGCTTCACTTGTAAACCGTTGCAATGCTTGGTCTACCTTTCGACTTGTGCGGAAATACGTCTCCTCCTCTTCCTCTTCTTCCGCCATAACAACCAAGTCTCGAATGGACTGGAAGGCAGCAAGAAACTTGCGGCTGCGTATTTGCTCCAACGCTGTAAGCTTCTTCGCTTGAAAGTCCGTCAGCACTACTTTGTCATCCTCACATGTCATCATAGAAACGACATGAAGGGCACCACATCTTCCTTGGGATATTATTGCTGGAGTCAATAAATGGTTGGAGTTGACGATACTCTCTGTGTAAAAACTCTTTCGGGAAAATTCTTGCCTTGTTGCGATCCGGCCTTCAAAAGCCGTGCAACTTGGGCCCCAGGATATCAACAGTAGGAGGGAAAGGCTGTAGAGAAGAACATCAATGCACCCTTTCCAGGGAATATAACCCCGTACTCGGATTCCAGCCATTGCCACTGCCGTACCAACGATCCTCACACCAAGATTATTGGCCAGGCCTGCTTCGTCAAGAGACAACCAAGAGATGCAACTGGTGAAACTCCAAAGTATGCAGTTTGCAACCAAGATACCCAACACTAAAAAGTGGCCTAGCATGGTGAACAACTTACTGCACTTGGAAGCTAGCTAGCTAGCTGGCTAGTAGTACGCTGTAGGGAAAGAGACGAACAGAAAACGTTGCCTGCAATAACCTCCAACGAACACCTGTGACGTACAAAGTTGCACTTTGAAATCAAATCCACAAAGATTTAAATGGCAGCACGGTACTAAACAGCATTAGAGCAAACTTTAAAACTATTAGGAGCATAAATCTTCAACTTTTTGAATGTTCAAGCTGCCTGAGCTGTGAAATACCGGTACTCTAGAAGGATGCAAAAGTCAGAGTAGCCCCCCATACGGTACCGCTACGACTGTACATGTACCGGTACCATACCGGTAGCGCCATGCATCTCTTATTAGACTTGATTGCGGAGGAATGGTAAACCTTCAGAAGCTCGTCTCACGAAAGCTATTGAGCTAGAGCTAGAAACACAATGTAGACTAGCTAGAGAAAAGAATGCTCATCTCCCCAGAAGAAGCAGACAGGGGATTGTCTCATGTCGGGGGATGTGCTTCAAAACAAGACGGTTGCTTGAATACCTATTCAAACAGAATATATTGAAGAGCCATAGTAGCTGTCCTATTAATAGAGAGCGAGCTGTTGATGAAACCCAGCCAAAGGGGTTAGCTTTTGAAGGGAGCCAAGGAGCTAAAGGGCATGGGCCAGCCAACAACGAAGCAGCAATCACCACACGCCAAAATTCTGTCTCAAGCAAAAGAACTCACATCATCATTGGTTCATCTGACTGTAAAAAGATGATCAGCTATAGACTCTAGCTACCAATCATGTAGAGTTGAGTGATGGGCTCTTGTGCTGACTGTGTAAAAAGAAGCAGCCATCCAATGAGTCACAACCACCCCGAAAGCTAAGATTGACGTCACCACGAAACGAAAGGACCAGAATTGACAGTGTCCGAGAACGCAAGAGAAGCTGTGATTCATTCGATTGATTCGTGGAAAGTGACGTACAGTAAAAGTCCCAGTCAATTGCACGAGGTCCTTGTTCCTGCAACTTCCGGCCACCCAAAAGATACGTACAAGTCGAAGTTAGGTTTGGTCACTGGCTATCGAATGCCCGTAGTTCTTGGGCCAACGCCGCCAACGCGTTCTTTGTATTGAATTCCAACAACCGAGCAAACTTCCCTTACGATTGCCGTCAATTTCGGCAACAAAGTTTATCGATTGACTATCAATCATTTTTATTGCTCCGCAGCAATAACACTCGAAGGATTGTATTGTTTTTGTTGAGGCCCCTCTGAAGAAGAGGAGCCCCCAGAGTCGTCAAGACGTTTCCCCACGCTGGTTTCCGCCAATCCTGTGTTAAAGGTAAGGAAATGGAATGCTAATTATTTATCGTTCGTTGCGATGGATATCAGGGTTGGGTGGAAGAGTTGACTGGTGAAGATTTGCTATGAAAGATTCGTTTGGCTTTGTTTTCTTCCAGAGGATGTTGTACCTCCAAGGGGTAATGGGGTTGGCTTGATGGGGTGGCCAACCTTGGTGATTTGTCATTGCTCTTACTGCAAGCGGGAATCTTACTTGATGTGTCGTTCTCCGCATTGGATTCTAACTTGATTGTGCCTTGTGTATCTTGCTTGAACCACAGGAGGAACATCTGTCATACTTTGCCAAAGTTCGAACTTCCCCATAGGTTAAAAGACAAGGATTTTGAAAAACAAGATGAAGATGCATCACGTGAACAGCATGCCGGCTCTTTGTGGCTCGGACAGCGATGACAACAGTTCCAAGGATTCCTCGACTGGTCGCAACAGTGATGCTACCCCATCCACTATGCCCACTCGCCATGGAAGTTTGGTGGGTCTGGATCACATGGTGGATGAGGTGACCACCGGAGTCGAGCCTCATGTGGGGTACAAGAAGGTGAGCTATAATTTCAAATTGAAAATTCAGGGGTATTCTTGCGTGAATATCTTTTCTCACTTTTTCAATCGTTTTTCAATCTTTCTCGCCCTAAAATCAAAAGGTACTCGTCACTGGTGGGGCTGGTTTCATTGGCAGCCATGTTGCTGAATTTCTTTTGGAACGTGGCGACGACGTGGTTACTGTTGATGAAATGAACGACTACTATGATGTGCGCATCAAAGAAAACAATCTTCAACAACTTCGTGCAAAGTACCCTGAGGAAGGTCGTCTCAAAATTTTTAAAGCAGATATTTGTGACGAAGACGTCATGTCCAAAATCTTTGAAGAAGAGGGACCCACCTGGGTTTGCCACATGGCAGCCCGTGCAGGAGTGAGGCCTTCGATTCAGGATCCCTATGTCTACATTCACAGCAACATCAAGGGAACCACACACCTCATGGAACTCTCGGCAAAGCATGGAGTCAAGAACTTTGTCTTTGCTTCGTCCTCTTCGGTCTATGGAGGTTCTAAGAGCACATTCTTTTCCGAGGACGAAGTCGTGGATAATCCCGTGAGCCCGTATGCTGCCAGCAAGAAGGCATGCGAGCTTTTGGCATACACTTACCATCATCTCTACAACCTAAATATTTCTGGACTCCGTTTCTTCACGGTCTATGGACCTCGAGGAAGGCCTGACATGGCTCCGTTCAAGTTCATTGACCGTGTGAGCCGAGGTGTTGAAATTCAGCAATTCGGTGATGGATCTTCCTCTCGTGACTACACTTTCATTTCAGACATTGTCGATGGCATCGTCCGTGCCTTGGATCGTCCCCACCCGTACGAAGTCTTCAACCTTGGCAAGGGCTCCGGCACTTCTCTCAAGGAGTTTATTGACTTGGTTCAGAAACACACCGAGAAGGATGCGGTCATCAAGGTCATGCCCGACCAGCCTGGTGACGTCCCCTACACTTGTGCTGATGTGAGCAAGGCTCATGCTATGTTGGGCTACAAGTCCAAGGTGGCCTTTGAGGAAGGGATCCGTCGCACTGTGAAGTGGTACAACGGTGCTTACAACGCCAAGGAACTGGAAGTTTGCCCTGAACTCCAGGCCAATGGAATGGGCCGTGCTCCATCCATGGTGAACTTGTCTCAGACTTGTTAGGCGAAGTTAGGGTGATGTCCCAACTGCATGTTGCAGTGACATGCACAACGAGCAGCAGATGATTTCCGTTCTGTAGTTGTGAAGTTAGGAGAAACCTCACACGTTTCATTTACACGTAGTAGTTGAATAAAAAGAAATAGTTTGATGGGTACATTTGAAGATACATGTAGCCGAGTACAAGCAGTAGAGCTCTAAGATCAGGGCCGACCCACGGTGAGGGAGAAGCCCGGGACACGGTACAGACCGTATGACCATACGGATTCCTTGTTTGAGCAGAACAATGTGTCAGTCATGCGGGGTACCCTTAATAGTACTGTATGTCCAGCACTCTGGGAGAACCGGCTTGGAGTTGTCGATTGTCGATCCGATCCCGACGGCGGATGAACTCAAAATGCCGACAGTGGCAACCGTACTTATTAGACTAGTCAGTCTACGTGCGGGAAGAGAGACAAAACCTCAAAATGTTGCGAAGAGGAGCAAAAGACAAAGAGGCCACGAGACAATCTCGATTGACGGGTCGCCTCCCAGTAAGGTTCGCCTCCCAGTAAAGGTATACAGTTCGCTTCTAGCATAGGAACCGAAAGACTAGACTCTCATAGGCACTTCGCTCTTTGCATTGATCGAGTCGAATTCAATCTCGGCCGCTCCCCGTTGATCTGGTTCTTGTTATTATTGTCGGGGACGGTCTTACTTGCTCTCGAAGTCTTGGCGAACAAAATCATGCTGTTCGTGCTGCTGACTGCTTTAGCCCGGCCACATCACCGATGTCCAGTTCAGTTTCCCCTGAAGCGACTTCTGGTTCAATAGCAGCGGATTGAATTATTCGGTTCATTGAACACTAC